TTTGTTTTTTTTATGATTATATGGTATTGCTGATATGTAAAAAATAAAAATAAATAATAAAAAAAAAACCCGACTCCGTCAAACAAACTTTGAGGTTCACAGAGATTAGTCGAATTTTTCTTAACATCTTGACTATGCGGTAATTACATGATTGTATGTAAGGTAATTATTTAAAACTTCTCTTCCTGAAGGATTTTTTAAATTCACGTTGTTCCATTCAATGATGAAATCCAACAGACAAGGCTTGTAACAGTATCGTCCTTGTTTGTAAGGCTCATTATCATAGCTGTATTTTAGAAGAACTTGGTTTTAATTCTACATCTGGGAGTCCAATTTATACTATTTATACTCATAGTTCACTTTCTAAGGTTGAACATATCAAAGTCATATTTCAGTCTTTAATACTTTTAACGTTCCAGTCAACGAAGATGAGTTCGATCAGTCCTACTTATACTTGATCCCCAAGCTTCATAAAAATCCTTATAAACAAAGATACATTATCGCCAGATCCAGCAAATCCTCTTCCAAGCCCCTATCTTTACCCCACACAAAATATTAACTGATGTAAAGGAGAAACTCAGACGTACTCTACTACAGCATATTCTAAAAGTGTTGTAAATCAAATGTGGAATCTTAAAAACTCCAAAAAGGTTTTAGAAAATAATAAAATTGTTCAGAAGTTAGTAACATCAAAACTTATGACTTTTGTACACTGTATACAGCTATTCCTCACGATAAATTAAAAACAGGGATTTTTGATATCATAGACAACTGCTTCTTCAATAAAAAATAAAAATCTGAAATGTTCATATCTTGGAATCGGTCATCAACAAATTACAAAAATCACTCTGAATCTACACACAAATACTCTGAAGTTGACATTAAAAGGATGCTGGAGTTCCTCATTGACATCTATGTAGTCTTTGGAGACCAGGTCTTTCAAAACACGGTTGGAATTTCCATGGGCACTAATTGTGCTCTTTGATCGAGCGACCTGTTTTTATATTCTTATGAAGCAGGATTTAGCCAAAGACTTCTACATGAGAAGAAGAAAATACTTGTGGCCTTCAGTTCGACATTCAGATAAACAGACGTTTTATGAATTAACAATAATTACTTCCATTCATATGAATTACATTCAATATTCCACGATACATGCTTTTGAAAGCCCGTTTTGGTTATCTGACAAACTGCTTACATTCCCTGTGACCAAATCATTTTTACTCGTCTTGATAAACATTACTGAAGCCATCGTTCGAAAGAAGTTACCCCTTTGTCAGGTATATAGCATAAGAAAATAGCATTTTTTTAATAATATTTTCGCATTTTTGCATCTATTTAAAAGTTTTGAAATAAATATTGAATTATAATATTTAATTTAAAAAAAAATCATCAGCTAACATCATACTGTGATGTCATACTCTATATCAATTTGCACTCACTCAGAACCAGGGATAGACATTAACTTTCAGATTCACTTGCCCTTCGGGCAAGTGATCTCAAACTTTGACTTGTCCGAATGCAAAACTTGGTTGCCCAAAATTAGGATGGAACTTGAGACGAAATTATTAATTACTGCAAACGCTATGAAAAGAAAAAATGTGACGAAATACACTACTGTCAATTTGGCAAGTTGAGCTACCGGGTACCTGAAACAATTTCGACCCTGCATTTGTACATAAATGTATACCGCTGTACTTGTAAATTTAACCTGTTAACATACACTGCCATGCAGCAATAACCCTCCGTTTCCTTTTTTGAAAAAAACATATTTTTAAAAATTAATTGCGGTAGGAGCATTTTGTGATTCGTGATTTTTAGCGATAACTGTGAAGCAACGCTTAAGGAAGATAGTTGCTACGAAACATACATCTTACCTTGATCAGAATACAACGTGTTACACTGTACTTATATTCTGTGCGTGAATAATCTAATTTCATAATAAGAAGTTAACAAAATTTTGTTAGACGTAGAGTGTATTTCCTACGAAAGAAAACAACAAATTCGATTTTTATATGAACGGTATAATCCAGAAACGCTACCAAGGAATTTCGAATGCAAAACATTGTCAGTTAGGTGCTTGGCGGAAATCAAGTGTTCAATTTATTGTTTTATTTATAAATTAATGTAAACTAAATAAATATGTACATTTGTATGAGAAAAATTCACTTGCCCGATCGGACAAGTATGTCGACAATTTCACTTGCCCGAACTGAGAATTTACTTGTCCCGGGCAATCGGACAACCGTTAATGTCGATCCCTGAGAACTTTACAAAAGTTAAGAGTATTTTTTTTTCCTTGAACCTGAATAATATGTATAAGATTGAAGATTTGTTTTTATTAGGAGTTATTTTTATTATACAATTTTGTACATTCTTTGTGAATGATTAAAAAAAAAAAAACAGCTGAAAATACTGATAACCAAGATTTTTCACCATGTCATTTTTGAGAATTGCTATTGTTACCTATATATTTATTTTCTGTTAAAAGTTTTCCTACATATACTACAAAACAGCTATTAAAAATAAGGAAGCATATTTCTCAAAAACAAACTTTGGCTAAAGTGAAGGCTGCGGTTATAGTGAGAGCAACGGCGTTTAAGGAATTATAAATGTTATTGTTGCGGACGGGTTCATAATGGAAAATGAAAGGGCATAGCAGATTAAATGACTTTGATTGGAATACAACCTATCGTTGAGTTGGATTTTGTCTATCAGTTGTCATTTTCTCCCATTACAACTACGTTTTTCATTACTCCCATACAGTAATTTTTTTAAGTTCTTGTTAGTAAACACCTATTACACGTATGAGTTACGTTGTGCTACGCCATATTGGTTTCTGAGTGTTTTGTACAGTTATTATGTATTATCTGTACTACATGTGTACTATGTGTAGTTTTAAGAATCTAAGTAAGATTTAAAGGGAAAAAGTTCCATAACTTGTGCGAGTTTTAATCGGCAAGCCTATTCAAAATTAAAATAGATTAGGAAACTCGAGCTGTAAAAAAAATTCTATTAGATTCTGATTACTAATGAATGTTGTAGTTGTCTACCTTTCGGGCTCTATAGATACCACGCAGTCTCTGTTGGATTGTGATTACTATATGAATGTTGTAGGTAAATACGCCTTATGGGCACTATAGATTCCAATCCATATAAGATTGTGATAACTGTATGAATGTGGACGATGGCGACACTCTAGGCTCTATACATATCCTAATCTCTATAAGATAATGATTACTGTTTGAATGTTGTAAGTGCCTACGCATTTGACTCTTTAGATCTCAGTCTTTATAAGATTTATTACTGTACGAATGTTGTATCCAACTCATACTCATAGTTCCATTTCTAAGGAGGAAAAAATTGAATGTCAGTTTTAAATATTTTTAATATTCCTAACGATCACATTGAATTTGAATTACTACATCGATACTGGATTCCTAAACTACATACAAATCCAAACAACAGAGCGGGCTCTAGTAAATGTTCCACCAATCCTCTCTCTCTACTCCTTACCAGAACATTAACAGCAATAAAGAACAAACTTCAGGAGAACTGTGCTACGTGTTCTAGAAGTCGTGTTAATCAGAAATTCCAAGCAACTTAAAATTTGAAATCGCAAATTGTTTACAAAAATCAACACATCAAAACGTACAACTTTTCAACACTTTATGTAACCATTCCCCAAGATAAATGTAAGTCCAGGCTTTTGACATCATAGACAGCTGCTTTTTCAATAAAAAATGGAACTCGTAAAATTACATAACTTGTCATTGGTCATCTGCGAAATTTATTTTAAAAAGAAAATCTGATTGTACAACACACAAGTACTCCGAAGTGCTTGAGTTTCTGATTAACAATATCTATGTAGTATGTAGGTTTTATTAGATCAAGTCTTTCAACACTCTGTTTGAATTTTCATGGGTACGAAGAGTGCCTCGAAATTAGCAGACCTATTTTTGTATTAATGTGAAGCAGAGTTTATTAAAAAAAATTCTACATGATAAAAGTCTCTTGCTGTGGCCTTCAGTTCGACATTAAGATATATTAACAACGTGTTACCAATCAATAATATTCATTTTCATTCCTACGTTGATTCGACGTATCCCTTTGAACTCGATGTAAAAAAGACACCACAGAGTCTGACACATCTGTTTCGTATTTGGATACTTTACTAGAAAAAGACACTAAGAGCAAACTTACAACACAACGTAATGACAAACGTGATGAATTCAACTTTTTTTATCGTCAACTACCATTATAATGTAGCAATATACCACTAACACTTGCATATGGAGTATATGTCTACCATGTGATACGATACATAAGAGCAAGTCCTACATTTCTATGAACAATTCCTAAAACGAGGCAAGCTATTGAGAAATAAGTTGATGATACAAAGATTTAAACAGTCTCCTTTAAAGTCAACATTTCGCTAATTCTATGGTCGATACAATGACCTTGTCAGCAAGTACAATCTATCGTTGAATCGAATGTTGTCTGACGTTTTTCATACGAATTGTATGGTCATTATTTTACACAATAAATTCTACGGGAATATTTCTGTGTGTCTAATCATGACAAGCACACGGCGCGGATGACCGGTCGACAGGGGATGCTTGCTCCTCCGTGGAACCTGATCGCATCTCTGATGTGTTTAGAGGTCCATGTTTGCTCTGATCACAATTTGTATTGTTCCAATGGATTATTAAGCATGATTACTGTACGTTATCTTTATATTCATTGAAGATGCCTACGCCTCGGGCTGCATAGATCCCTGTCTCTTTAAATTATGATTACTATATGAATGTTGAAGACTCTTTAGCCCCCAGTCTTTATAAAATTGTATTTATTGTATGAATGTTGTAGGTGCCAAAGCTTTAGGCTTTATAGATCCCAGTCTCTATAAGAGTGTTATTACTGTATAATGTCGTAGATGCCTACTCTTTAGGCTCTATTAATACAAGTATAAGACTGTGATTACTGTATGAATGTTGTAGGTGCCTATGCTTTGGGCTCTATAGATCCCAGTCTCTATAAGATTGTGGACGAGGATGATGATTATGAAATCCCTATGGATCATATCGGGAGAGTGTGGTTTGCTGTGGAGTATGAAAGGGAAACAGAAAAACTACTGGTGACACTAATGAAGGCAAAGAACCTCCCAACCCGTCAATATGGCAACAACAGCAGCTGTGACCCATTCATCAGGTTAGACCAGTAGTATATCGTATGCCATTGATATACCCCCCGCAAACGAAGTTTAGGGGGGTATATTGGAATCAGCATGTCCGTCTGTCTGTCCATCTGTCTGTAGACGAGATTTTGTCTGGACCATTTCTTGGAAACTGTTGCAAGGATTTGTCTGAAAATTTGTACACTTATTATTCGCCATATGAAGGTGTGCACCTGGTATTTTCATCATGATTGGATAATTTTTTGGCATTTTACAGGTGTTTTTTTTTATTTTTATTATGTGGTTTTGTCCGGATCTGTTCCCAGAGACTATTGCATAGATTTGTATGAAAATTTGTACACTCATTATTTACCATATGAAGATGTGCACCTGGTATTTTCAACATTTTTGATAATTTTTCTGCATTTTACAGGTGTTTTTTTTTCATTTTTATTGACTTAGTCATTTCGGGTTCATGTCTAAGGTTTGAGACATAGAATCTAGAACATCTGTACAAAAATGTGAACTACAGCTTAAAACTACTCATTAGAACTAAAAAAAATCACAAAATATTAAAAACAGCTTTTACATTACACAGCAGATAGTGTAAATCTATTTGTCCCTTTGGAGTAATGAGTGGACATGCATCCAGTAAAAGATTAATTAATGAGTTCAGTGTGGGAAGCTGTTAGGGCATCTCTGATCAAGCAGGTCTTATCTATATCTCCTGGGAATGAATTGGGCAGAAAGAAATAAAGATCTCTGTTGTCTAAGCCTCTTAATTGTAATTTATGTCTGTCAAAATACATAGTAACTGAAACCAGCCTTTTATTTTTAAAATGAGTATGATATAAAGGTATTAAGATCAATTTGACTTTGTATAATTAATTATGATATTTTTTTTCAACAATCAATTTGCAGAGTGTCATGTCTCCCAAAGATGACAGATAGTTGCAAACTATTTTTTCAATGTAATAAAAAACACTGTAATTATTAGTATTGATGTTTTATTAGGCTGCACATTAGTTTCATTCCTTAAAAAAATATAACGAGTAATTAAATTTTCACTCTAAATGTTTAAGCAAATTGTGAAGACCTCTCACATCTAGAAAACATTAGTGATTTGGTACCTTCTCTGAAAAACCCAGCGGGGGGTATTTGTCCCTTTTGGACAGTTCTAGTTTAATAATAGTTTATTTCATTATAATAACTAAAAGCTATGAGTTAATGTTTAACATTGCAGTATTCTTTGGTGAAAAAAATTGGATTTTTTTGTGAAACATTAGATTTTTTCGTTACCCGATCATGACAAGGAACACAGGCGGGTGTGAACTGTTCACAAGGGATGCTTACTCCTCTATGTCACCTGATCCCACCTCTGATGTTTTTAGAGGTCCGTGGCTCTGTTCACAACTTGTATTGTTTCAATTGACTTTTGAGCTTGATTACTTTTCGTTATCTTCAAATTTCATTTTTCAGCCAAGTTTTTTGAGTTGATACCTTGTTGATGAAAATACACTAATCTTCTAAAATTATCATAAGCTACATCTCTTACTGGGAGACACAACTAAACATTCTGTCATATTAACTGTAGTGTTTATATACAGTTATACCGATCAAAGTAGTCCAAAGATTGTACTGGTTCTCTGCCCAGATATTTCAGAGTCTTGTGAAGAAGATATTGATACCGTGCTTCGCGTCATGAATGATTTTTTTGGGACGAAACAGATGTTCCTTCTCCATTTACAAAAGTACAGGAAACAAACGATAAAGCATATTTGAAAAAATGTCAAACATATTAAATACTTTGTCTCTACTCATATTTAAATAATTAGAGCATTAGATACGCTTGTTTACTTAGGAAATGTTGGAATAGTCATCAAATCTTCACTAGAAACCGGCTTGTTAGGAATTATGATACTTGGCTCCCTTTCATACTTCTGATTAAGTCAAAACTTATCTTTGAGAAAAATTAAATAATGAATGATTTTTAAATACAATTACTGGATAATTAAAATATTGAGCAAAAAAGATTTCAGGAAGCACTGTTGTTTAATCTCACAGAGAAGTAGACACAATAGAAAATCAAAGTCAATTTGGAGAATCTTAATAATTCTGAATGTCGTATTCCGAAGAGACATAAACCATGATAAAGCTGCATCTTTCATGTGTGACATTTAGTGGTTACAGAATCCTCGTAGACGTCGGGGTTTATTTGCCGTCTCCTTTTATTCCGTTGTAAATCTAGTCACACATCCACAGTATCGACTTATAAAGACTGATTTATATGAAGGTACGGATTTTTGCTACAGTCTCGGGTTCTTTACCAAAAAAAATTCCTACACTTTTATAATATGAAACCATCTGTTCCACAATATGTTACAAAGTGTTGTTCATCTGAATATTTTATCTTTTATCATTTACACTACTGCGCCGGGGTGACTTTTATAATATTACTTTAAAAAAGATTTATTTTAGGTTTCTTTGTTACACGATATGTGTTTTTGAACTCATTTCACTTGTCTCAGAGTTGAAACAGGTGGCCCAGTTTGCTCTGCCAAATTAAACATAAAAATTATTTGTTTGTGCTATGATCCCACACAAACTTTACCATCCTTTATCATTATAAGTAATTTTTTACGACTTCTTACTATACTGGAATCCACCTGTTATCCTTTTTAGCTCTACTGGTCAGAGACCAGAAGAGCTTACGCGATAGTAAGGTGTTCGTCGTCCGTCCGTCCGTCTGTCCGTCTGTCTGTCCGTCCGTCTGTAAACAATTTTTCAAAACGCTACTCCTCCTACAGTTTTGGTCTGATTTCAATATAACTTGGCACATAAGTAGACTACACTGAGATACATAATTTTGTGAATCGGTTTTTGATTTCAATGAACGGTGTTGCCATGATAACTAAAAACAGATATTTCTGGGAAATACTTTCAAAATGCTACTCCTCCTACAGTTTTGGTCTGATATCAATATAACTTAGCAAACAGGTAGACTACACTAAGATACATAATTCTGTGTAGGGGTTTTTGATTTCATTGAATGATGTTGCCATGATTACTAAAAATAGAAATTTCTGTGAAAACTTTCAAAACACTACTTCTCCTACAGTTTTGATCTGATTTCAAATAACTTGGCACACAAGTAGACTATACTAAGCTACATAATTCTGTATATCGGTTTTTGATTTCAATGAACGATGTTGCCATGGTTACTAAAAATAGAAATTTCTGTGAAATGCTTTCCTACAGTTTTGGTCTGATTTCAATATAACTAAGCACACAAGCAGACTATACTAAGATACATAATTCTGTGTATCAGTTTTTGATTTCGATGAACATTGTTACCATGGTTACTAAAAATAGAAATTTCCTTGAAATGCCGTCAAAATGCTATATTCTCCTACAGTTTTGGTCCGATTTTAGTATTACTTAGCACACAAGTAAACTGCACTAAGATACATAATTCTCTGTACCAGTTTTGGATTTCGATGAAGAGTGTTGCCATGGTTACTACAAATAGAAATGTTCTTGAAATACTTTCAAAACGCTACTCCTCCTACACTTTTTGACTGATTTCAGTATAACGTGACATACAAGTAGACTACACTGAGAAACATAATATGTGTTATTGTTTTTTGATTTTGATTAATGATGTTGCCATGGTTACTTAAATCGAAATTTCTGTAAAATTGTTTTAAAAACCTACTCCTCCTACAGTTTTAGTCTGATTGCAATAAATCTTGCCACAAAAAGAGACTAAACCAAGGATCATTTTTCTATTTATTGCTGTTGCAAAGTTTCAAGTCCAAGTGCTACTTTTATCTTCCTTTATAAGTACAACCAGTAGAGCTACAATCTCGTCAGAGACTTCTGGTTTGTCGGGGGAAAGACGTTCAATGACATATCAAATTGTAAACCATAATGTGATACAACGTATATACACACATTTTAATCATCTCGTTACAGATTGTATTTAATGCCTGATGAACGTCGATATTTACAATCTAAATTCAAAAAGAAGACATGTAACCCAAAGTTTGAAGAGAGTTTTGTTTTTCAGGTAATGATACATAATTGTACATTTTGGTCAAAAACATATCATCTGAACATGGAGAATTTTCCTATTTATGATGGACTAAAACAATTGATAGTGTAAGTGCGGCCTAATTTAAGAATTGCTTTAAAAAATCCTGAATACTTTGTATTACCGTATTTTGGGATGGTTGGTATGACTACTAGCTTTCATCTATTGATAGGTATCCTATAGGTCGCTACAGGACCGGATGCTGAAAATGACTGTTTATGACGTAGACCGTCACAAACGTCATAATGTCATAGGTCATGCCCTTTACCCTCTCAAGGACCATGACGCAGAGAGCAATGAACGCCTTGTTATATGGAGGGACCTCGAAAGGGAGGTCACTGAGGTACAAAAGAAAGGAAACAAATAAAAAATGATAATTGGGCTATTTGCTTGTAGAATATTAATACAAGGAAAATAGATATTAGTAATGTCTTTTTGCGAGGCAGATGAAGACCTATAAATTTAAATACAAATTGCTTATCAATGTTGATATTTTATAGACGACAGCTGATAAAGGAGAACTGCTTGTAGCCCTCTGCTACAATAACCACCTGGAACGTCTAACGGTGGGGGTATTAGAAGCACGGGACCTCAAGTACGACAGCCAACCCAGTGGTGAGTAAATAAAGTAGTAATATGTTATAATGCAGAAGTTCTATATCCGGACTAGCCTACACAAGTTTGAACAAAATGGGTTATTTTGATTTCTGGTAAATATTCGCGACATGACAATTATTCCCTGACTTTTGAAATTGGTGGTGAATGAGAGCAAGTTGCAGGCTTGAAAGTCACGAAACTGCAAGTAATCTATAACCCATCAAATACTCGCTAAGGGATATAATCTGATATACAATAAGATCAAAAGAGTTACAAAAACACCGCTGTCGATCGGTGTTACGTAATTCAGGATTAGCATGGGAGGTTGGCCACTGAGTCTGCGTGTTTAGAGAAGTTTCACAAGAGCTTATTGAATTTATGGCTTCCGCTGTTATAGATATTGAATAAGAGATATTCTCAAAACCTACATGATTAACTTCGCAGACTGAAGGGGAAAGTTTTAGGGAATGTAAAGTTATTTTAAATGTAGAGAGATGCACGAATATTCGTGTTAAGGACCGGTCTCTACACGAGGGAATGAGTTGGGGAATCCGAGAATCCTATAAAAACACAAAGACGGATGCACTACATATACTCAAAGTTAGCGACTGATGATGTTCTAAAAACCACATTGATATTGTAGATTGAAAATAATTGTAAGTCGTTTGCATTAACATTAACCTGCATTTTAAGTAAGAGAAATTTCGAAAATAGCTTTTTAAATACATAGTGCACTTAAATTTCAGTGCATGGAAAAGAATCATCCATTTCAGTTTGGTTTACACTTCTATAATAGATGTTACATGATAGGTCATTTCCTTAGTTATCCTTGACAATCAGCCAAATTTATTTCTTTTTTTGTAGATACATATGTTAAAGTCAGTGTTCTAGTCCAAAACAAAGTGGTGAAAACAAAGAAAACGGAAGTACTGAAGAAAACAGAGTCTCCTAATTATAACGAATCTTTCACATTCAAACTTCCCGTTACAAGTCTAGACGCTGCAAGTCTAAGTCTAACCATCATGCAGCATTCCAGTGGACATAAAGGTTAGTTACGTCAATATTTACTTCCGGGTTTTCTAGAGCGTTTTGCATCATTTTATGTTATTATTGTGTCGCCTTCAGAGCTGGCCCCGGGGCCATAAATCTTAGATGATCTCACTTTTGATCTCAGTCTCATTTTTCCTTTAGTAAAAGTGAGACTGAGATCAAAAGTGAGCTCGTCTAAGACTTATGGCCGCGGACCCAGAGCGACACTTTGGGATCACTTTGCCCGGCGTCTGACTGTCTGTCCATCCGTCCGTCTGTCACACCTTATATCTTGAGAACTGTTAAAGGTCAGAATTTGATATTAGGCTGTATGTATTGCTTGGAAGAATGGCTTTTATAAAATACGACCTCGTGACCTTTGAACTTGACCTTTGACCTACTTTTCAAAATACACCAAAGTGCCGATATACACATATTCTTTATCTTTTTCGAGGCAAATTTATGCTATTTGGCAAGTGCACTGTTTGTCATAAGATATGTTAAAATATATCAGCGTTACAGGTCACCTGACCTTGACTTTTAGCATATTTCCACTGAACCGTTGTTTTGTCTTTTGAATTTTAAGAAGTATTGCTTTGTTAACTAACATTTATAATCATGTTTATTAGCTACTGATATTTTATTTCAAATGTATAAATTACTTTAACCACACATACTGAACTTAAATGCATTCTGTTAGCAATCGGAAATCACTCGACCTTTTCCTTCAAACACGTTAAAATTTCGGTTTTTCTCGACTTGGCAGAAAAGTCCGAGTGATGTTTTCGACTTGAAGGAAAACACCATTGGATTTTCCGATCGTTCTAATAGTTATCTTTAACAAAATTAAAACGGCATCAGTATACCGACTTTTCATTGTGAATTTGGGGTATTCTTGAAAACTTGTAATAATAATTTTTTTCGACTGGACAGAAAAGGTTTATATTAACTTTATTTAAAATTTTATGCATGAGAAAAAGAAAATTCTTGCTGTGGCCTTCAACTCGACATTTAAATATATCGACGAAATATTATCAATTCCCATTCATGTGTCGACACGACATATCCCAGTGAGCTTGAAATAAAAGATACCACAGAGTCTGACACATCTGTTTCATATTTGGATATTTATCTAGAAATAGACGTTAAAGGTAATCTAACAACCAAGCTTTATGATAAACGTGATTGACTTTTCAATCATTAACTTCCCCTACTTATGCAGCAATATACCCTCATCACCTGCATATGGGGTTTATATCTCTTAGTTGATTCGATACACAAGAGCATGCTCTACGTATGAACAATTTCTAAAAGGTGGTAAGTTATTGAGAAACAAGTTGATGAAATGAAATATTTGGAGATAACGAACAGTATTCAAGCTCAAAAGTCCATTAAACATTACAAGATAGGTGCAGAGCAAACACGGACCTCCAAAACATCAGAGGTGGGAAACAAGAATATCAACAGTCGCGTTTAAAGTCATCATTTTGTAAGTTCTATGGTTGATACAATGACCTTGTCAGCAAATACAATCTATCATTTAAGTCAAATGCTGACTGACATTCTTCATACTAATTGTTAGGCCATTATTTACCCACTGAATTGTCGACGGATTTTTTCCGTTATTTCCCGATCATGATGAGCACACGGCAGGTGTGGGCAGGGGATACTCACTCCTCCATGGCGTCTGATCCCACCTCTGATGTTTGAAAGGTCCGTGTTTGCTCTGCTCCTGATTTGTATTGTTTGAATGGACTTTTGAGCTTGAACACTGTTCTTTATCTCTGTATATTTCATTTTAACTTTAATTTTTATTGATCGTAACTTTTATGATATTTATCGCTGTCTTACTATCCGTGGATTTCTCTTTGCTTAAACTATAATGATAGTATAATATCTAAATGAAATTGATGACCAACCCTTAGTTTTATTTATGTCTGTGATGCTATAGCAGGATACACATGCGTTCCTTGGAACGCTTTAGTTTTGATCACCTTATGGTTCAAAAATACATGTAAACATTTTTAGATCAACTGAGCAAAGGCCACCGGGAACATTTCGTCTCTGTCTATTGTAAACTTTTGGCATTTCGATTTTTAGGTCACCTGAGTCACTCAGGTGACCTATTGCTATCTGTTTTCGTCCGTCGTCGTGCGTCGTCCGTCGTGTGTTAACATTTGAACATTTTCAGCTTCTCCTCTGAAACCGCTGAATCAATTTCAGCCAATTTTAGCATATGGCATCTATGTGTGAAGGGGAACAAAATTTATGAATATCATGGTCCGTACCCCCCTGGGGCCTGAGGGGTGGGGCTAAAACCACCAAAATTAATGCAATCTTTAAAAATCTTCTTCTTTACTCCTGGACATCAAGCAGTCAAACTGTTGGCATCATTGTAATAAGCATTGAGCCCTCTACCAAAATTGTGAAATTCATGGCCCCAGGGTTAGGGGTTCTGGTGCTAGGGCGGGGCTATATAGATCATATAGTGAAAGTGCATTATTTCTTTGAAAATCTTCTTCTCTACGCCTAGGTATTATTGAAACAAATTAAATACATAGTTATGATAAGCAAGAGTGACTCTACCAAAATTGTGAAATTCATAGCCCCAGGGTCAGGGGTTCTGGTGCCAGGAGGAGGGGGGGGGGGCTACATAGATCATATAGTGAAAGTGCATTATTACTTTGAAAATCTTCTTCTCTACTCCTGGGTATTATTGAAACAAATTGAATACATAGTTATGATAAGCAAGGGTGACTTTACCAAATTTGTGAAATTCATGGCCCCAGGGTCAGGGTTCTGGTGCTAGGGCGGGGCTATATAGATCATATAGTGAAAGTGCATTATTTCTTTGGAAAATTTTTTCTCTACTCCTGGGTATTATTGAAACAAATTGAATACATAGTTATGATAAGCAAGGGTGACTCTACCAAAATTGTGAAATTTATAGCCCCAGGGTCAGGGGCTCTGGTGCTAGGGCGGGGCTATATAGATCATATAGTGAAAGTGCATTATTTCTTTGAAAATCTTCTTCTCTACTCCTGGGTATTATTGAAACAAATTAAATACATAGTTATGATAAGCATGGGTGACTCTTCCAAAATAGGGATTTTCATGACCCCTGGATCAGGGGTTCTGATGTTAGGGCTGGGCTCTATTTATTATGTAGTGAAAATGCATTAATGCTTTAAAAATTTTCTTCTCTGCTCCTGGATATTTTTGAAACAAACAAAGTACATTGTTATGATAAGCAATGATGCCTCTTCCAAAATTTTGAAATTCATGGCCCCATGGACAGGGGTTCTGGTGATAGGGTGGGGCTATATAGATCCTATAGTAAAGGTGAATTTTTTCTTTGAAAATCTTCTTCTCTGCCCCTGGCAACAATGTACTTGAAAGGTTAATAGAATAAGAGAATTATTCAAGAATTTTTATTGTATAATACAAAAAGTATTTTCATAGTTTTGACTTGTAAGTAATAGATAAATAAAAATGGAACAAAAATAACTTGTCTTATTAAATGTTCATCAAAGACCAAGAGAGGCCAATGTAAGAGATTTCAACAAGAAATTAAAATACACTGTAGTCCAGAAGCACTGATGGGTTTTTAATATACTGGATAGTGAAAGTGATAAATGGGGAACAGATTAGAACCTAATTTATAAACTGTCAATGAATACTAGATTAATTATTTTGTTGATCCTGATCACCCTATTTTTCTTGCTTATTTTTGCTTTTGGGCAACAAAGCTTCACCTTTCATTTCATTTTATACTCTATGGATCCTCTAAATTGTTGTATTATACTCAGGTGACCGTTAAGGCCCTTGGGCCTCTTGTTTTTCTCCAGAACCGATGGACTAATTTCCACGAAACTTGCTAGAAAATATCATTGGGTGAAAAGAGTTCAAATTTATTCAAATGAATGCTTATACTTCCTTTCAAGGGCAGGGATCAAAGTTTTACAAAGGGACCTATAAAGAAAAAAAATCTTTTAATATTTTCTTGCCAACAACCACAAGGCCACTATTAGTATAATTGATATGCAAGATTCCAAGGTAATGTTTAAATCATAAATCCTGGTGGTAGGGCAAGCCACAATAAGAAACCTTACACGGGAAATATATGAATATATTTTTGTAAATCTTTTCTATAGTAGCACGTTCACACCGAATCATATAACAATGCAAGCTTTGTCAATATTCAAGTTTTACTTGTAGATACAGACCCTCAAGTTTGGGTGACATTAGATCGAAGCATATTTTACATAATGCATGTAAACTTTTGACAACCTTTCTCCAGAACAGTAAGCCATGTTCGTCAGAGATTTTAAAAATACCTATGTTGTGTTGATTCAAATTACATGTAGGTTAAATCACCACCCTTGGTGATAAACTTGGGCCACAATATGAGGTCAAAACACTTCCATGAGAACAATAAGGATAAAAAATATCAATTAAAAATTATGAAGAATAGCAGGGCTGAGATGACTGGTGATCATCAAGACTCGTTGGCCTCTTGGTAATGTTGTTTCTTCGAACTGTACAAAATCAGTGGATCGTATAGGAGTGACCAGTTTATAATGTTTTAACATCGGATGACAATAATCACTGCCTTGGGATGACTTGGAAGTCATTATTATGATTATTATTTTGGTCTAATTAGACATTTAACCCATTGTCTCAGTTTGATTTAAATGTTAACTTTGCAAGACCTACTGTAATAAATTATACTTGTCTGGCAGCTAGATTATCCGTTTTGTAATTATATTAATTTCTGTAACAAGATAAAAAATTAATATCCTGTGCTGTTTATAACAAAGTTAATGAATGTATTATGACTAAAACGATACATTCATCTAAAGATTGTTTAGGTAACTTGAATCAGATGACCTTTTTCTTTTTTCATCCGTCTTCATGCAAAGTGCGTAAACTTTTGAACATTTTTAGCTTTTGAACCAATTTCATCTATAACTTCTATGAGTAAAAGGAAACAAAAATTGTTGAATCCATGGCCCTGCCTGTCTAGGCCTGAGAGGTGGGGTCAAAACCATCAAATTTCACGCTATCTTTGAAAAATCTTCTTTACTCAAGGACATCCATCAGGGAAACTTTTAGTATGATAATGTTATGCCATCAAACTGTTAGCACTGATTATGATGAACCATGAACCCTTCAGTTTAATTGTGAAAGCCATGACCCTTGATTCCAGACTCCAGTATGGACCTAGGTTGAACATATATTGGAATTTCATCAAATCTTATAAAAATCCTCTCTTTACTTCTTCAAAAACTGAAATCCATGGCCCCTGGGACTATAATTCAGGCCTTATTCAGATTGGGCTTAATTGGATATAAATTGAAAACACGTTTTAAAAAAATTTTTTCTCTACTCATGGGCATTTAGCAGGCAAACTGTCTCTGATTTTAATAAATACTTTGTACTCTATCAAAATTGTGAAATTCGTGCTCCAGCTGGCCCATACGTAGTTCAGGTCCCAGGGAGGTACTACTACGGTCATGTATTTAAAATATGTTACACCTTTAGAAACCTTCTTATTTAATCATTTACATGTATCAGGCAAATTGTTATCAAGATTAAACTATAGCAAACTAATTATGTGATAACAATGAATACTCAACCCTTTACTCAAACTGTTAAAGTCATTTGCCATGAGTCCAGCTTTCCGGCTCCAGGGTATGGCTAAGTTTGTCATGTTTTGAAAATACACGATTGAATATCTTCTATCTTACCCACAGACATCTAATAGTCAAACTGGTCACGTAATGAACACTTATCCCTCTACCAAAATGGTAAGAATTCATGGACCCATGGATGGGGCTATGTTTCTTATAATTTGAAGATACATCTTTGAAAATATTTTTACTCAAGGGCATCTAGGAAGCAAATTGTTTGTCTGATAATAATGAGCAGCTAGCCTTTTCAATAATTGTAAAGTTCATATCATGGATCAGGCTAGGATCTGACTGTCTTACTACTCTGAACTTTTTAGGCGAAAAGTTGCATGATACATGAATATATATATTCTCGCCAATCAGTATTTTTAATTTTTTTTTTTAATGAGGCCAGCTAGGTTTCAGTTCCGGTTTGGGCTAAAGTGGAGAAATTCAAGATATATGTAGATGACCGTCAAGGCCCATCGGCCTCTTGTCCTTATGAAGTAAACACCGATGCCCCTGTAATAACAAAACTGACTCTTTTTTAAATTGCAGATAAAATAATAGGAAGAGTGATTCTGGGATCTTTCATGTTTGCCAGAGGAAAGGAATTGGACCATTGGAACGAAATGGTGGCAAATCAAAGAGACCAAGTTACTCAGTGGCACGCACTGGTGTGATCGTTTGGACTTGTGTGATTGTCTGATTGTGACACATGTTGGTTTAATTGTCTTTCTGTTATACAGACTTGTATGATTGTCTGTCTGTTACATGGACTTGTATGGTTCTCTCATCGTTACATGTATTTGTCTGTCTGTTACACGGACTTGTATGATTGTCTGTCTGTTTTGTACTGTCTGATTGTGTTTGGTGGCACAGGTTTGATTGACTGTACAAGGAGTTTTGATTGTGATTTTGTTTAATTTGTGTGTTTGCTTGATTGTAACAAAGGGATACAGACAGTGGGACTCACCTGATTGTCTCGGTCAGTGTTCAGATTGGTTTGTCCGTCTGTCTGTACCAGCTGCTTCATCATTCTATATGTTGCCTTTGCTTTCAAACTGAGAGTCCACTGATTATACACAAACATGATTGAACAAGTTATTTGATTTTTACGGTGCATGTTTTTTTTCTTAGAGTTCATCACAGTATATAATGTGGAATAATAACATTTGTTCCGTCTTAAGTGGTCGATTCCCTGCACTATGGGTAGGATTCATATTGTAAAATAGACATTTCAGATGCACACAGTTTTGTATTTTTTTTTGTTAACTTGTCTGATGGTCATAGCTCACAAAATAAAGAATTTCAGACTTAAATTTTATGTGTTTTTATTCACGATGACGACAACTTGCACTGGTCAGACATAATGATCTTGAAGCCTTACTTTTAATGCTAAATCCATTAGGGTAAATTCATTATTTAAACTAAATTCAAATAATTCCACATGAAGAAATGATATTAAAGTCTAAATTTAAAATATATTATTGCGCAACACATTCTTATAGCAAAAGTCAAAAGTATAAATCACAAGATCTGAGAGAGGTTGATGACAGTCCTAACATTTAGTCTAAATACAATGTGATATATATATAATATAAATAATGGTAAAAATACGTATTCTTGTTAGGTCGTGTACAAAATAGGCTTTAAGATTTTGATATCGTATATAGAGGAGGCTTTGACATTTTCTTATGGGTAATTACCGTCTTCCTTGGAAGACGGTATACAGAGTTGAAGTATTTTACAGTCTTCGGACTATGCACTTCCTCTCTTTTGTGATTGGTAGAAATTGCATGATGAGAAAATTTTCAATTATTTCATTGGTTGAAATGCTGTTCAAGGCAAGAGAGATAATTTTCTGATGATCTAATTTTCGTACGACTTGACAATTTTTCAAGATTTTCAATCGTAAAAAAATATGACAAAACGAACAGTGGATATTGGCACTAAGTAATTCGATTTCACATGCTAGTTTTTTTTTTTTTTTTTTTTTTTTTTTTTTTTTTATAGAAATTGCCAAAAAACGTTTCTATATTTTCATTGTTAACAGAATTGATCTTTATTGCATGCAAGCTTTAGAGCTTGTATGTATTCTTTTTCCCTTTGTCTAATCTCGGCAACACCTCGGCCGATTCGTACCTCATCACAAAGGTGACGGAATCAGCCGAGGTTTGCCGAATGATCTCAGCAGCCGAAGTTTCCGGAGACAGCCGAGCGTCTGTTAACGTTTCACTTGGTACAGCTTATGTCAGAAAAAACTAATGAAGAAATACAAAACAAAAATTTTTTCAAGAATTATACGACCCGATAGGTTTAGATCAGTTTATTGTTTAAGGCTGTTGCTAAAGACGGTAAGCTTTTTGAAAAAGCTCTACTTGTTTTCATGTTTTGTTATTGGTCATTTGCAAACTTACTTTAATCAAAACCATTCCGATTCTACACATTAGCACTCTGATGTAAATATTCAAAAGATCCAATAATCTGCTATAATTCAATTGGGTAATTATTTTGCCTTTATAAGAGGACCTGTTTCTGTACTTTTATGAAAAGGAATTTATTCAGAAACTTTTTTATGAAAAAGACGTCTCCTGCTACTTCAATTCCACAATTACATTATCAATATATCCCACTGAACTCAATATAAAAAACACCACAGAAACAGTTTCATATGTGGATGTTTCAGAAGAGATGGACATTGATGTCAAACAAACAATTAAATTTATGATAAACCTGATAACCTTAACTTTTAGACTTCTCCATATTTATGTAGCAAACACTAATGTTATCACCTGCATATGGAGTTTCTCTCCCAATTGATTCGATACGCAAGGAAAGATTGTTAAATTAATTGTTATGCCGTTATTGTCAAACTGAATTGTCTACGCATTACTTTGTTTTGACCGATAAGGGACTCACGGTAGGAATTACTTTGTCAACAGGAGCTGCTTTCTCCTCCAAGGCACCTGATCCCACCTCAGATTTTCCCACAGGTCTGTGTTAGTCTGCTCTAAATAAGTATTGCTTCATTGACCTCTGAGCATGAAACTTCGTATTTTTACATTTGATAACAGAAAAATCAAAAGCGATCGTTAATTTCTTGGTTGTACGTGGGATATTTCAGACAATGAGCCTTTTCTCCCTTAGAAAAATCTGCAATAATGTACTCCTTATTTTTTTTTTTTTTTTTTTTTTTTTTTGAGGGGGGGGGGGGGTCTGTAACTCCATAGGATATCAGTAGCAGGAGGTGGGCGAGATTCGGGAGTGATTCATTCCTGTAAAGGAATTGGGTCAAATCATTGATAAGTCACTATTTTAATATCATTTACATGTACCTTAACTGGACTCCGAAAATGTACTTGTGCAAGAAATATTAACAGCAGTGAAGGAGAAACTTCAGGAGTACTGTACAACAATATATTTGAGAAATGGTGTAAATCAGATGTGGATACTTAAAAACTCCAAGGAACTTTTAGAAAACTTGAAATCACAATATTTTACCAAAATCAATAACATCAAAACTTACGACTTTTCAACACTTTATACAACCATTCACCGCGATAAGTTAATGTCCAGGCTTTTTGACATCAATGACAGCTGCCTTTTCAATTAAAATGAAGCTCGAAAATTTGCTAACCTTGACATTGGTCATTTGCATCATTATTTTGTTAAAAAAAACGTCCTGATTGTACACACAAGTACTCTGAAGTTTTTTTTTTTTTTTTTTTAAAAGATGCTTAAGTTTCTAATTGACAATTTCTATGTAGTTTTTGGAGACCAGGCCCCAGGATTGTTAAGCCGTCTTAGACTTAAGTTAAAATTTGTCAACTTTCTTTAATTTTAACAATAGAAACCACGTGGAATTTGAAATGGTGTTAAAGCTCCTTTCCCTTTCATGCTGTTAATTTTAATTTTCAAGAATCAGTTTCTAATAAATATCCATTTTCTGAATAAATGAAATTCTGACTTAAGTCTAAGACTGCTTTATGATCCTGGGAGCAGGTCTTCCAACAATCTGTGGAATTCCCATGGGTTCCCATTGTGCCCGTTATATTATTAGCAAACCTATTATTTTTGTATTCATATGAAGCAGAATTTATTCAAAATTTTATACATGAGAAGAATTAAAAATTTGCTGTGGCCTTCAACTCGACATTTAGATATATCGGCGACGTATTATCAATTAACAATGGTTATTTCTATTCATATGTCGACTCGATATAGCCTAGTGAGCTTGAGATAAAAGATACCACGGAGTCTGACACATCTGTTTCATATTTAGATATTTTACTTGAAAAAAGACGTTAATGGTTATCTAACAACCACGTTTTATGTTAAACGTGATGACTTCAACTTTTCAATCGTCAACTTCCCTTATTATGTAGCATTATACCCTTATCACCTGCATATGGAGTTTATACCTCCCTGTTGATTCGATACGCAAGAGCATGCTCTATGTAGGAACAATTTTTAAACGAGGCAAAGCTTTTGGCAAACAAGTTAATGAAGGATACCCGATCCTCAGCCAGGAAGGATACCTCTTAAATTTATTATTTTATTTTAAAAGTCTGAAAATGAAGCTTGAAATTAAGATCTTTTTGTGCAACAATTTCCATTTTATGCATCTCAATATGATTCAAGATTCTGAAGTCTTAGAAACAGTCTTGTACAAAGTTGATAATTGTACCCCATAAAAGAAAAAAAATGAATTAATTTTTAGAGAAATTGAATTTCTTTTAGTATAGCATTAGATATCAATGCTTATTATCATGATATGAAATAAGACGTGATATGTGATGTCTAGCAATTGTAGCATAAGCTTTTTACGTTATGCATAATATAATTATTGAGGTAAAGAGAAGAACTAAAATCCTGCATAAGCATAAAAAGATGCAATTTTCTCCAAATGCCTGGATACATATATTTTTCTATCCTAAATTATATTTGTTGATCAATTTTCAATTAGAAAATGCATAGCTGGTGTTTTTATTTGCATTTCCTGAAAATATATTTGAGATTTGATAATTTTCCCTATATAATATGATTAACTATAATTATGAACTTTGAAGAAATACCATGGGTAAATTCACGTTATACTGTGTGAAATCAGAGACACTTTTGTGAGAATTTTTCATTACTTAAAAGCTGATTTTTAGAACTTAAGCTGAGGATCGGACTACCTTAAAGTGAACATTTCGCAAGTTCTATGGTCGATACAATGACTTCGTCAGCTAAAACAATCTATCATTACGTTAAATGCTGATTGATGTTTTTCAGACTTATTGTTAGGCCATTATTGACTACGGATTTTTCCGTTTTCCTGCTCATGACAAGGAGCACGCGGCGGATGTGACTTATCGGCAGGGGATGCTTACTCCTCCATGGCACCTGATCCCACCTCTGATGCTTTTAGATGTCGGTGTTTGCTTTGGTCCTGATTTGTATTGTTTGAATGGACTTTTGAGCTTGAATACTGTTCGTTATCTCCATATTTCATCCAAAAGTAAATAAATAAATAAAATCCATATTTTTTTTCTCGTGTTTGTGATATCATAACCTGAATAAGACTGTCATGTTAAATGATTTTGATGAATTTATTTTTTGGATCAATGAAAATTGAGGATCGGATCTTGTAAATAAAGATAAGAATCTTTTGACTTAAGCATATATAACTTGGTAAATGAACAATTTCCTTCTGGAATGTATTCAGTTATGGATGTTTTAGTGAAAGCATACGGCAACATCATTCATTTACTTTATCAAGCATGTCTATAATTCAAGCGTTAATCTCAGGCAATCACGCGAGACTTGTCATGGCTACTAAAAAAGGAGATATGGTAAACATGCAGTTGTATTTTTCTTCGTGTTAGTGTATAAAGTGCTAGGTTGCTAATCATGAATAAATATTTCATCTTATTCGAAGTCTGTCTCAAATGTAATTTATTTTATATCCTGGCTATATTACATGCTTTGTTTTTGATGAAAATTTAAGTAAAAGATGAAATGTGAAGATAATGAACAGTGATCATTTAAACAATACAAAATGTGAGCAGCCAGGGACCTATGAAGACAGAGGGGGAATCAGGTACCATGGAGGAGTAAACATCCCCTGTCATTATCAGATAAACGGAAAAATCCAAAGACAATTCAGTGTGAAAATAATGATCCAAGAATTTGTATTAAAGGTGCAGTCAACATTCGACCTAACAAGATTGAATTTGTAGACAAGGTCACTGAATCGACCATAAAATTTGCGAATGTTGATTTTAAACGAGATTGTGATTTCCTTGTATCACCAACTTATTTGTCAATAGGCTTTCTCGTTTTAGAAATTGTTCCTATTTACCCATGCTGTTGCGTATCAAGTGGGTATTATAAACTATATGTAGGTAATAATTATATATTGCTACATAATTAAGGGGCAGTTGACGATAGAAAAGGCGAAATCATCACGTTTATCATTAAGGTCTAGTCGTTAGTTTGTCATCAATGTCTTTCTCTACTAAAATATCCAAATATAAAACAGATGTATCAGACTCTGTGGTGTCTTTTATTTTTATATCTAAATGTCTGATTGAAGGCCACAACAAGAGACTTCTTTTGTTTTTTGCAGATGATCAACGACAAGGTATGCAATTTTCGGTTCCATTTTTTTTTTTTGTAGAAGCAGTTATCTAAGCCTGGTCTTTAAATTATTTATTAAGATTAACAAACACAATAAATTAAGTTAAAATATGTATCATGACTTCTCTGTTTTAACCGATAATATGAAAATTGAAAGTTAATTGAACTAATTTGATTGGTTATAACTTCATCTGATTAAATATTCCCACTGAATACGTGGGATGCAACAAAAGTAATGAGCCTCAAACTTAGTATTATTTGCGTCATTTTCAATTTTGGGGAAATTTTGTGAAGTGCGAAAGGGAATTTAAAAGGGAGATTAAAAGATAGTAGTCACATGATGCACTGAATATAGCGGGAACACCACATTTCCGCAAATTGATACATCTACAACCTTTCCGCAAAATGAAAGTTACTATTCCGCCAAAATTTTCACGATTCTGATTGATTGATTGTACATGTATGTTGTTTTACGTCCCATTCGGGAATTTTTCTCTCATATAGAGACGTTACCATATACCGGTGAAGGGTTTCAAATTTAGACCTTTACTCGGCACTCAGTGGCCATTGAGCAGTGAGGGATCTTTATCGTTCCAACGCCTGCCGTGACACGGGGCCTCGGTTTTTAAGGTCTCATCCGAAGGACCCGCAACTTTCACTTCAACGTGACTAGCGCCTGGCGAAGGAACAGTTGCTACCTATTTTTTTTATCGACTTAGGTCAGTCGTGGCCGAGATACGAACTCACGGCCTTCCGATCATGGAGCGAGCGCTTACCGACTTCACGATTCTGAAGAAACATTGTATCACGATTTCGCACAATATCTTTGAAATACACTCTAGACAAAATTGCGAACGCACCCCTTGTTATTCTTATTTGTGAATTCAACATTTGGCTGATCGGTACAAGTATATAATATGCCATCTTTTCCAATACAGTGGGATTGACATATGTCTTGGTGTCATGACAAGACCTTAAATGACCTTCTTGTCCGAAAACCAATTTCCCGAGGTGCACTGCGCTCTGTTTTTGCACAGATAAGACGTTGTTGATTACCGAAGGTGGTCCATGAGGTTGCAACAGAAGCATTTTCCCAGTTAAAAAACAAATAACATACAGCGATTGACTAAAATATCGCCTAGTTGTGATCCAGGGGCCCGTTTTACAAAAAAAAAACTTACGACTAAGACCAAAAACTTTAGTTGATTGTAAAATTTTTGCAAAATTAAGGATTCTGTTTAAAATTGCCAGCGTAAAAATTTCTTTCTATATTCCTTTTAAAAAGACTAAAGTCATTCTCAATTTAATGTAAATTAGAAAGTTAAAAGCAGAATAAAATTTTGGTCTTAGTCGTAAGTTCTTTTGTAAAACGGGCCCCAGCGCCTTGTTGTTCACACCCAGTCCATACCCAACTTCCGGTTGCCCCAGTTTTGTGGAACAATCTTGACATTTTTGTGTGGGGCTTACTTAATGCCGTTGCTACAGTATCTAAAGTAACATTTTTATGTTTATTAATCTATTTGCAACAAGTTTTCAGCAGAGGAATGTTGCAATATTCGATCTTTTCCATTTGTATTGTATAATTTTCAATTTGTATTGTATTTTTATTTGCATTATATAATTTTTCATTTGTATTGTATAATTTTTATTTGTATTATATAATTTTTATTTATATTCTATTAGTTTCTATTTGTATTCTATAATTTTTCATTTGAATTGTATAAATTTTCATCTGTATTCTATATTTTCCATTTGAATTTTTTTTTTTTTTAAATCATTTGAATTGTATAATTTTTCATTTGCATTCTATATTTTCCATTTGCATTGTAAATTTTTTTATTTGTTTTGTAAAATTTCCTCTTTATATTCGATAATTTTTTTTTATTTGTATTTGTATCCGATGATTGTTTATTTATTTCTTTACGAAATAAGGAAAACACAACTAAAATTATTCCTTTTTATCAGAATCTCATAATTAAATCGTTTATTTTTATTGTAATTATAAAATGGCAACACGATTCGAGCTACAAAGTATACAAATAAAACGCATGAAACCGTAAAAAGTTGAAAGACCTGCTTTAAAGTTGGAAAAGCCAAGATTAAAGTTGGAATTATACCAACTTACAAGTTGGACAAAATCTGTTTAAAGTTGGAAATCAACTTTAAAGTTGGAATTACCATCTATCAACTTTGAAATTTTTTTTTAGTAGTACAAATGTTTTTTTAGAAGACAGGTCGTTTTGGTTGATGTATTAATTACTTTTTGTGAATTCTATCTAATTTATGTGTTACATGATATATATGTTTGATCCTCTGATTATTATGTTTTTGTCTGTGCTTAATTATTCTTAAATTGTGACCCATTTGTTTAAATATATTTTATATAATTCACATGTGGATTTTTTTTGGGGGGGGGGGGTTATATAATCAATTTAACTGTCTTAAAAAGAATTATTGCATTATAAGATTTTTTCTCTAAAAGAAAAAAAAAACTAGAGAAGATAGAAAATGTTAATAGTTTTGGAAATTAAAGACATTTTAAAATTAACCACCATTTAAAGAATAACATTCGTCGTTATGATTTGTGTATTTGCACCCAACCAGTTCAATTAATATTTCATTAGATAATTTCCAAAAATCAGAACAGATAATCTTTGTTGAAACTCATAAATCTTCATTTTGATACGCTCCCCAAACATTGCACGTGTATGCACGTAACTTTCAACGATGTGGGAAGATAAGAGCGTCAGATGAGGAGGGAGGGGAGTATTTTCCTGGGAGGACAGAGCGCGCGGCTGGACCACTACCTCCTTAAGCTTCAGGGGACAGCTGACAAGATGGTACGTTTTCTCTGATTTCTGTGTAATTAGTTGAACCCGGTATATAAACGTATCCCACTTGACGAGCTTTTTAAGAACGAAGCATCTCTTTGTTTACAAACTGTTTTTCAATGTATATTGGGTGAGAGCAAAGACATCACATATCAATGTATCATATATCAAAATAGGAACCTCTGTGTAAAGAATGTGGTTGAGTTAGATGTATTATAAGTAAAAATGAATAAATATTGTAATAAGGATGAAAAGTAACCATATACAAAGGATATGGGAATGAAAACCTGGTCTACATTCACTAAAGTTATTTTTATCAACATTAAGCTTCCGACAGAGTTGGCATTGATTACTCAGTGATTAGAGCAGACGATCCCCCGCTGTTTCCCGCCACACACTGCGTCCTAGACACACCTAATGAAAAGAGATTTTATTGTTTGCTTAGCGTAATCTCCATCAAAGCACATATGCAGAAAGCATGCTTTTTAATTATCAGTGAAATGTGAATACACGCGAAAGCCCTCCGAACTAAAGTATCGTTTTGAAAATAAAGAGTCTATAGAAATGATAGAGTCGATTAAATTATATTCATTATTGGTTATACATATTTACAATTTTATCAAATTAAAATTTTCATAGATACGCTGGAAAATATGCAAAGAAAATTGCTGAGTAAAGAAAAAAGCCAGAAAATGTAACATATACGAGTAACGTGTACCCAAGTAATTTTTTTTTCTTTAAAATCAATGTTACTTCCTATGAATTAAATGAAAATTTACCAGGCAGTGTTTTCCTGTCTCAACATAAGCGCCTCTTCTTTTTTTCTTCTTCTTTTTTTGGTTGTTGAACATACATGCATATGGCTAAGCAATGAATTAAATGCATTATAATATTGATCATAGATATTGATCATTCAGACCTCATTTTGAGATTGAGAGTGGAATCAAATTTTAAAACCAAATTCAAGTTATTACGTTTATTGACGAGAATAATAATCTTTGTCTAAGTACGCTGGCGCGGATACTACATGTATTGTTTTCTTATCTACCTACATTTACATGCAATGTATTTAAGCTTAATCCATCGAAAATCTTAAGACTCGACTCCCTTAACATACTCTAAGGTTTCACGTGCGCACTAGTACTAAATTTTGCTATATACTTGTATATTATTACCAAAATTATAAAACTTTACCTAGACTTAATTAGTCAAAAACAAATTTCTGGAGAAATTTTTCAGACTTTGTAGATCAATCCTTTCTAAACATTTTAGAAAAAAAAAAACACAAAAAACTTATAGTCATCCAGAAAGGTGAGCCTGTTTTTTATTATCGAAGTCTTAACAGGTGCTTGAAAGTAGAGCCGGGCCTAATCACACCTTCCTTAAATACGACATGTCAAAAAAATCAGCAGGACTCGATCCTACGTACAGTTGTCGGAAAACGAACATTGATTTAAACCTAAGAAAATACAAGTTTGGCTTTCCAGAAAGCCTGAAATGTCATCTCTTTGGCTTCATTAATGTCACAGAATAAACAGTGGAATGTTATATTATTTTCTCAGCTATTACAAGCAGTAGTATCGCTTTTGAAAAAATGGGGGGTGGAGGACAAAAAAAAAAAAATCGACGATTTAGCTGAACAATCTTTGACAAGGAGAAAAGGGGGCTATCCAAACTCAACATTTTTTTTTCTTGGAAGGAGGGATTACAACTTTTCCGACAAACATATTTTATATTATAATACATTCTCATGGGATGATTTGACGTACCATACTGCAACAAAAGGTGGAAGAGGGGTCAAGGGTGCGCCTTTTCAATGTTTGGGGAAAAAAGTGGAAGGGGACGGCCCTCCTGGTGCTATGTGCCTGTATTATTTTACCTGTTGTAAATATGCTTTATTCAGGTTAAATATATTTTGTATCATGTCTGTGAAAAATTCTAACCACTGAGAAATATTCGTAAGAATTATTTAAAGTCATATATTACGTTTTTTTTTTTTAAAAATAAGTTCAGACTACCTAAGTTAAAAAGATCTTTCTATTTGTTTTATTACTTTATATAAAAATAGGACTTTCCTGTAAATTACACAATTTAAATCAATCACGTTTCAAAGATATTAGAAATTTAAAGCAAAAACCGATTTATTTACCGATTCAGATTTTAATTAACAGACACAGTTTAATTTTTTTTTTTAATCAGTCGAACTATGGAAACATGAGGTTATTCAAATTCAAAATCGGTGAAAAATTTAATTTCAACGTAAATAACATATATCATGTTTAGCTACACCCAATCTCGTATTTTTATTTTTTAGCTCAGATACGCCATATATAGCTTTAACAATTATTCCGAAAGAAGATGGATATAAACTTAGCGTTCCTTTTGACTTTAGTTCTTAGCCGCCTACTACGGCAGCAAAGAAGTTTTAAAGCGCCAACTTAAATTAATCTGAACCTGAATTAATTCCAAGACTTTCCTTATTTTCCTTAATCGTATCGTCTGAAGTGACTTGGCCATCGAGCCACTGGGATTTGATTGATTATCGAGCCACTCTGAATATCAAGGGGAAAATTGAGACACTCCTGCATCATGTCCTTCTGCTGCCAATATGCAGATTCATGTGTTAACGCTATATTATGTATAATATAAGTACATGTACATGTATAGGCTCCTGGGAAAAAAATCATGCATAGAAAGGTAATAAAATTGAAACGTTACCATTTAAAATTAAGTATTAACACATCGAAAAGAACCCCAATCTACCAACATCGATTTTATAGGCTGTTTCATGAGACACACATTTTATAATTTTGGCTTTATTTCAAGAATACGAGGAGTGATTTTTTTTTTACCTTTTCTCATTGACAAAAAACGCAAATTAGAATTGCATAAAGAAAATGATAACAGTTGCTTTGTTTATTAACTCTTAAAATCCGAGCCAGGTAAAGAAAACTGTATGTTTTCCTAATACTTTTCTACAGGGGCCGGTAAATTTAAATAAAAAAGAATATAGTGCACACATCCGAGAAAATACTTATATAATGATTCTTTATGATCTTTATTCCAATGCCTGCAGCACTGAGTTACTTAAATCAGAGGCATTTATGTTTCTGCCTAAATTGTGTTTTTAGGCAAAATTTCTTTTCTTCGAACTTTATTATAATTATTATTTTTTTTTTTTTGAATAAGTTCTGTTTTATTTTTCATATATACGGCATTAATTATCGATTGACTAAAGTACACATAAAAGTAAAGTTTTTGCCATTGTATTTATGCATTTAATGTGAGTTGTTATTTCAATGTTTTCACTGTTTTCTTTCGTCAGTAAATCTTGGATCCACGCCTTGGCTTATACATTCAATATGCCATGCTTTGTGTATTTTGATCCCCGCGCGCTGACCATCGTTTTACGCAATAGCCTAGATGCAATGTTTATGTATATAAACCGTTAATGAAGACCCACCACCACCCAAGTGATCCTACCTCTATTACTCTTAATGAACACTGGTGTAGTTTTACTTTAACTTTAAGATGGACCATTTTGTTTAATAATAATAAGAAGACTTTGGTCAATTTGGTTTACATCTCTATATTTAGAAATCGTGTCATCGTCAGTCCCTTTGCCAGCTTATCAATGGCAGCTTACACTAGGACTTTACTTCCGGTGATTCAAACTTTAATGTGTCATCTCCCGAGGGAGATGACAATAAGCGTCTGTTTCCTGTAGAAACGCCCGAATCCAAGCGGGGGGGGGGGGGGGGGGGATGAGGAATTAATTGCTTTGCTCATGTTCTGAACGTGTCAATAATTCAATATGTTTTTGTTTTGTTTTGGGTTTTTTTTTGGTTTGTTTTGGTTGTAAATTTTAAAAAAATACTCTATTTAATTGTTGTAAAAATATGACAATTAAATTACACTAAAAATGTATAAAATGTATTTAATTTTTTCCCCTCGCAATATGATTTATTAATTATTTGCATTATTTAACTGCTCTTCCGTCTAAAATTTCTACACCAGTTCTGAAAGGCACTATATTTAAAATAAAGACGAATCAAAATCAACATTTATAGGGGGAAAAAACAAACAAACAGAGAACGTAAATATAGGCTTTGAATTATTATACCCCCCCCCCGCTTTTTATAATAATGACGTATATGTATTTATATTGCACTATATACAAAATGCAGACTTAACAGTGCATCTTACAGCAGATAATGTCAATACATTCGTCCCATGGCAGTGATGAGTTGGAAATGCAAGGAGGATATAAAAGCCAAATTTCATTTGTCCAATTAAAGATTTATGAATGAATTTAATGTAGAAAGGCTGTGCTCTCCGACCTAGAGTTCCCATACTTCTTATTTATAGTAACGTACTAATTTCGTATGTTATTTTTCATGCGTTCCTTATTTATCTACTGTAGATTACCAAATTTTTGCGACACTTTTTTTCGCAAGATAGGTATTTTGTATTGATAAGCGAGACAATTTTTTTCACAAATGCTGGTAATTACTAAATAAAAGTATAAGCGAGAATGAAATATTCGCATGCAGACAGTCTCGAGTAATTACGCGAAAATACATGTAAAGTTCTTGCGAATAAAGATTGATTCAAAGTATTATTTTGCATTATGTTCTTATATTTACATCCACTGAATATTATTTCCTTTATTTCTTATAAAAACCATTGCCGTTAATCAGTCTATAAACAACACTTAGCAAGCCACCTGCATAGATTTCTTAAGCAACGGCTGTTCCATCAAATATGCATGCAATGACATACACGTCTCTAATACAATATTTAACATATTTAATTTTACTTTGAATGTTTTTATGCAGATATAAATATAAACAATAAAATGTCTTTCTTTCTTTGTTAGTAAGGGAATTAACGTCGCATCTATTGCAGAAAAAAATTATATAACCCGCTTACGCAGGTTATGTATTTATTCTGCAACAGTTGCCACACTAATTCCCCTACTAACAACCAAAGAAAGCCTTTTATTGTTTAAGTAATCTCTGTACACTATTGTAAAATGGTGATGAGATTCAAATAAATGAATGACCTGACCTGATCAAGCAGGTGTTATCCATATCTCTTGGGAATCGGGCAGGTCTCTAACGTTCTTAATTGCAATTGATAGCATCTGTCAAATCAAAACTGGCCAGCCATTTATTTTCAAATAAATTTTGTATAAAATTACTAACACTAATTTGATATTGTATGATATGATATAATAATTTTATTTTATTTTTATATCTCAACAAACAAAATACAGAGTGTTATGTGACCTGCAAATGACACCTGTCCCTCCACATTTATTAAAGTGATATATGGCGTATCTGGGCTAAAAAATAAAAAACACAAGATTGAGTGTAGATGAACATATTTGTTATTTACGTTCAAATTAAAATTTTCACCGATTTTGAACTTGAATAACCCCACATTTCTATTGTTTAATTGACTTTAAACTGTGTCTGATATTTAAATTCGGAGTCGGTAAATAAATTGGTTATTGTTTTAAATTTCTAATATCTATGACACGCGATTGATTTAAATTGTGTAATTTACAGGAAAATCTTATCTTTATACGAAGTAATAAAACAAATAGAAAGATCTTTTTAATTCTAGTTAGTCTGAACTTATCAGAAATACGCCATATATGACATTAAGGACCCGCAAGGATTTTCGGGTGCCCTATAGTAGTCATTCTCTCTCTCTCTCATTCTTCCGCCCACAAATTTTCTCTTTTTTTAAAATAACTTTTTTGGTATATTGGTTGAATAGGCAGTAAGACTTATTTGATACTAAGACAAGTTTGATTCTCTTTGTTATCAGGTTTGGAGCTGGGGTGGTGGGGTAGATTCCTAAGTTTATATAAAAATGAATGAGCAAAGAGAGATAACTGCTGAAAGTGTTCTTCTGAACTGTGAAAGCTGCAATGTTCGAATTTACACCTATATTTGTTTTGAAGTTAGGTCAATCCTGGATTTGTGTTTTCAAGGTAGTATGGAAGTTTTTTTTATGATGTCCATACTTTATCCTGGTTAAATACACATTTTATTGAATTATAATTTTAATATGGAATTTGGGAAAAATATCAATATTTTTATTGCTGGCTTATGTAAATTCAGGGAAACTATTACTTTTATCAGTAAGTTGGATAATAGTCTCATTCAATCACTACTAAAAATGTTGGAATAAAAGATTGTAAAATTAGAATAAAGGGATGAAATAGCAGTACAATTAATCCCCTGGAATTAATTACCTTGCATGCTGCAGAAAATTTAGAAACTATAATACGTCACATTAACACCTCTGTTTGCAAATGATGCTTGCTTTGAAGTTAAAGTCAAGCCTGAGTGATGTTTGCATTCACCAAAGGCTGACATTTTATGAAATGCATGCTTCATTCTGTTTAAATAAATGTTTAATTGAATTATTATAAAATATGATGTTTTACTGCATTATTTATGGTGACGTCTCTACATGAGTGAAAAATTCTCGAATGGACGTAAAACAATATACAATCAATCATTCGAAATTAATGACGATTTCTCAATTGATAAGAATACTTAGAATAATGCCAAATAGCAAATTATTTCATGAAATAATTTGACTCAGAAACTTCATCTTTGGCAATTTTTACAACAATGCGGTAAAATTAATTCTTTTTTCTAATGCATTTTAATTCTTTTTGTAACCATGGTAACTTTTTCACTGTTTTTTTCTTTTTAAAAAACAAAGCCTAAATAATTTCAAATGCCCAAATATTTCTACACAGTTTTTACCTATGATTTATCCTTGATTTTCTATCTTTTATATATTAGCGGGATAAAACTTCTTAAATGAAAAATAATTCGAATTATTGGAAGCTGCCTTACGTCACTACAGAAGGATGTGCACCTTCATCCTTCGTCATACATTGACAGAGGTGTATCGGGAGTAAAGAGATTATCACCCATAATGCAGAGTCTTTACACGAGAATTGATAATTAGGTGTAGAAATTGTACGGGTGACGTACATACAATAACACTGACTAAGTGGAGGTTTCCTCAATGATCCAAACCGTAAACAATGTGTTCTCGGTATTACAATGTCACCGGGTAAATTGGTATCATTTAGAAAGCATGATTCAGAGATACCTGTTACAATACTCAAGTAAGTGGAGGTCCGATTATTTTAGTTTCATTTTGAATTATTTACCCGCTTTCATACATGTATTTTTCTCTTTTCTTACAGGATACCGACTCTATGAAGACGATCCGGAATTGTCGTATAAATTCTAGGACTCTAGGATTTCTAGTATTTGTTATTTTAATCATTGGTTTAATACTCATAAAGAACTTTCACTTCCGGAACTCTGGTCGAAGATGGCGACCGGTGAATTTAGTTCCGGTAGAGAAATGTATAGGCAGCAAATGCGTCCAATCCAACGATACTTCTGCTGGAATGAAATACGCCTTGTATTTCCAACCCAGGAAAACGAAAGTAAATAAATTTGTTTATAGATTTATGAATCAACCGAAGAATGTATGTGATCCATACTATCCACCAGCTCTGATGATTTTAGTACCTTCTTCGCCTTCCCACGTGGAAGAGCGTAAAGCGATCCGTGCTACTTGGGGTAGTGTGTCCAATGGGGGTAAGTGGCCCCTTCAGTCCATCAAAGGAAAAGCCAAGCTTGTTTTCTTATTAGGCATCATCGAAAACATCACAACTCTTCAAACAATTCAGGAGGAGGTGATTGAATACAATGATATAGTGCAGTGTGATTTTCTTGACACCTATCAAAATCTGTCTCTAAAAATTCTGTCCGGAATCCGATGGACATACCTAAACTGCCCGGATGCCAAGTTCATTCTGAAGGCTGATGACGACACTTTTGTTCACCTGCCCCTCCTCATAGCTACTCTGGAGGGATACTACCACAAAGTAGATAGGAACGGTGTTATATTTGGAAATATTAATGGTGACGCTAAAGTCAGGCGGCGGGGGATGTGGACAGTCAGCGAGAACAACTATCCGTTTCCTCATTTTCCACCATACGCTTACGGAAATACTTACGTCATTTCCGCTAACATTGCCTCGCGAATATTTAGTGCTTCAGAATACATGCCCTATATACCTATAGAGGATGCCTACATAACAGGTATCCTGGCTAAAGTTATAGACGCTCGACACGTCTATGTCCCAGGATTTACATTTTGGTTGGATTACAAACCGAATTATTGTGATTTTGTCAATGATAATAGAATATCTGCTACCAAAGTTAATTTTAAATACATGTATTACCTTTGGGATAAAATACGCTCTGAAGAAACTGATTGTTGAATCCACTGGGTTATAAATAAAATTTTCATTGGATCTCATTTCTTTTTGTGTGATGCCAATCTCATTTATACATTCTCTCAAAAAACCATATGAATGGTACAATAGGTACATATATACATATTTAAATTAATTATGGACGAGCGGAGATTACAGGAGGACTGACAGTGTCAAAAATTTTGGTGATAAATATACTCAATTTTCTTAAGAATGCTGGATCAGTATTTGTCATTAAATTAGAAAATTTTATAACATTTGGATGTACATAGTATTTCGGTAACAAAAATTCTTTCCGAATATTACATAATACATTACATTCAAGTAAGTAATGAAATTCGTCTCCAATTTGATTATTATTACATAAATAGCACACTCTTTCATTTCTTTCAACATTATTCCATCTACCCACCTCTACTGGAAGACGATAGTTACTTGTTCTGAATTTTGAAAAGATATTTCTAAATTTTCTTTGTAAAATAGTTAAGTATTTTTCACATTCAAACTTTGTTTTAAAAAATTTCATTTGTATATCTTTACTGGAACTATTCATATCACTATACCATTTTTGTATAAACTGGTCTTTGAGCTTTTGGTTTATTGTACTCGCGATCCATTTAACAAGTGCTATGAAAAATTTGATCATTCCAAACATTACACTGTCCTGTTGTGTTAAGAACATTCTGTATGCAAGATATCCATGGATTACTGATCCCATTTTTGATATATCGATTATAAAGATGTAAATAAATAATTCTACAGATCTTATTCCAATTTCCATGTAAGAGTTTTCTCCAGAAAGATATCATTCTATCCAGGATTAAGATCAACAAACCATCATATATACACAGTATATTCAGATATATCAGCTTTCTGAGGGAAAACTTTCAGAAAATATTACACGTGGGCTTTAATTGTTTTCTCCCAGTTTCAATCACAGGTACTTGTGGACCTACCCACCCCTTTCCCATTTGATTTTCACCCAGGGGCTTGTTGGACATTTCTTCACAAATTACATTTATAACACTATCATTTTTATTACACAAAAATATCCCACTTTACATTATATCTCCTTTATATTGTTAAGTGGGGTATTTTTGTATGGAATGATTATTTTGCATTTTCCCCCGATTTCTCCTATAGTTAACATGATAGATAAGTGAAATAAATATAATTTGTGAAGAAATGTCCAACAAGCTTCTTGGTTGAAAATCGGGGGGGGGGGGGGGTTGGAGGGGTGTTCCTGTCCACAAGTACCTGTGGTTTAAATTGCTAAAAGTTGTGAGGAATTTGGATATACATTTTTGAAACTTTTTTAAATAATTCTGTAAGTAGAATCCATTAAGTAGAGATTTATAGAAGGAACATTTCTTCAAGGTCAGTCGGTAAAGCGCTCGCTCCGTGAACGGGAGGCCGTGTGTTCGAATCACGACTGACGTAAGTCGATAAAAAAAAAAAATAGGTTGCAACCTTCGCCAAGCGCTCGGCACTTTGAAGTGAAAGTTGCGGGTCCTTCGGATGAGACCTCAAAAAACCGAGGACCCGTGTCACGGTGGGCGTTGGCACGATAAAGAACCCTCATTGATCAATGGCCCTGAGTGCCGAGTAAAGGTCTAAGTTTGAAGCCCTTCATCGGTATATGGTGACGTTTATACATGTGAAAAATTCTTGAATGGGACGTAAATCAACATACAATCGATCAATCAATCAATCAAACTCTCAATATAAGCAAATATTTTTTGTTAAGCATGATCCGAAATCTTTTGTTTGCTATTAATAATCGTTTTTACATAGCTTTAATTTGTTGTTTACTCCAAACTTCACTTAAACCAACGAAGCTTTTAACATTGCACCAACCGAGTACAATACTTAACTATAGAATATATTGTTTTACACTACGATTACAAAATTAATACATCCTATAAAAGGTGTGTAGTATCAGCCCCCCCCCCCCCCCTTTCCAGAAAAGTTTTTTATTGATGGAAATTTTCATTCAAAGGCTCCTTTTTGTCAAAAAGAGAGAACAGCCCTTCTTTCTCTATCACGAAATACTAGTAGGTTTTATCAGTTTTTCAGGCACTATATAAGAAAAAGATGCTTAATTCCTGTATTGTTACTAGACAGTGGCTGGAACGATATGAAATATTCCTGATGACCTTGTCGAATTCTAATACACCACACAATATAACCAATATAAGACTTGTACTACTACAATCTCCTATGCAGAGTTGTCGTTCGTTCCTCTCTCAGACACCTCTGGGATTGGCTCACGTCAAGATTTTTGACATAACGTAAAAAACATGACATTCCAAGGATTATTTCAGATTAAACTAATAGCTCTAGATATACTTAGTAAATATCTACCTTAAAAGAGAAACATTAGTTCAGGCATTTAATTATGACGAATTTAAACAAACACACTATTTCTCGTGCTTATCACTGTGATATACGCGAGCCAATGACAGAGGTGAATGTATGAGCTACTACTATTCAGGATTTAGATCCTACATCCAAACTAGATACTGGGTCAAGTAACTTGAATTCATTAACATGAACACTTTTTAATGCAATCATAAATAAAAGAAGAGTTTGAGGAAGAAGAAAGTGTGACTGACGGACGAATGGACCATGCAGGGCAACAACAATATACATATTTTGTATTCAAGCTCAAAAGTCCATTACAACAAATTTTATCGGGAGCAGAGCAAATACGGACCTTCAAAAACATCAGAGGTGGGATCAGGTGCCATTGGGGAGTAAGCATCCCCAACATTCTTGGTTAAAAATTTCAGTTTTGTGCAAATATACAATGTAACTAACATACGAATGATATGACGTCATAATCTAGATATAGTGAGTCCGACCTTCCAGATGTGTCGTCCAGTTTGAAGATATTGTAAATTAAAGATTTTTGATGTTATCCTGCAATAAATACATAGCGCTGGCCCCATCGGTCATATATTAAACATCTACCAAACAATGCAAACAATATACATGTATCAGTCATTATCAAAGGAAGCAGGAGATAATTTGATGCTGTCAGCAGATGGCATATCATAAGAAGAATCAGTCCTTGTACGATTTACTTCTTGATCTCTGACTTCACTGTTAATTTGGACATTCCTGTGACGTAATATAGAAGAGTTTATTAGGTCTGGTACGCTTTGTATATCCAGAGAGCGTCCGATTGCGTTTTGAACACCTGTTTCTTGTACTGGTTCTATTCTGATTTGGGGATAACACGAAAACATTTCTTGTTCCAAATGAGATGAAGAAGAAAGGAACTGTCCCCCCCAGCAGAGACCACGTATTCTCGGTCCTGGACTCCATTGACAAATCACTAAAATGGTTAGATTCTGGAGAATAACAGCTACGACCAGTAATCTTTGTCTCTGATCCTGTGAAATTCATTACATCTGTCAACTCTAGCGACTCTAAAGAGGGAAACAATGCAGGTGCCTCAGCCAAATCATCAGATTCTTCATCGTCAAGCGTTTTAGCTTCAGTTTCCGAATCCAGGTCTCTCAAAACAGATTTGTAGTCATTTATTGAATCTATTTCCTTGAAATTTCCTGAATGTGCAATCTCTGACGCCTTATCAATTTCAATACATGCATCGTAGAATTGTCCTTTAAGTTCCTGGATTCGCGCCTTGGCTATGTAATACATCATTTCCCGTCGCGCCTCAATGTCCTTTAAATCAATCTCGTGCATATACCGCTCTGCTCTCTCCACATCTTCCTTAGAAATGACACAACCTGGGATACAGCGACCTTTGTTACTGAGTCCTATCAGACAGAAGATCATCCTCAGTAGAAACATCCTCTTCCACAGATTCCTTATTTCTTCCTCCTCTTCACTTAGCGCCCATAATCCTTTGCTGCCTTCAAACAGGAGAGACTCCTTCAATTCGTCTGTCGGGGCCTGCTCAAACTGCCACAACTTAAAGTAAACATCTATGTATATCATGTTGGCGATCTCCAGACACGGGCCAGTAAAGTTGGCGCAACAGTGAGCCTGCTTTACCATGTTTTCACCCTCGGAAAATTTTTTGGCAATTGCCAGTGCGTTGGCTTTCCTTCCGTAAAAAACGACCTCAGATATAGAGGCATCAGTTGATGTGCTGGCGAGAGCCTTCAGTTCCTCAAATATATTTTGGTCTGGTAGCGTTGTGTCATATGTGATTGCAATAGCATCGATTTCTGCCCCCAACAACGCTATGTATTTGTCCGTCAGAAACTGCCTTTTAGATTCTGTCCTTTCTTGTCCTATCTGACTCCGCAATTGACGAGCTTGTCTCCTGAAGAACTCCCTAGGATTCTTAAACTGTGCATTGTGAACTAAACGTTTAAGATTTTTAAAGAAAATGTGAATTGTCTTTTTATTTTGGGGTACTGATCGCTTAACAGTGACGAGGGAATTGGACTTGCATTCTGTTTGAATGTAATGCATATAAAGAATTCTGGCCAGATTGTGAAAACCATGGTCAAACAGACGTCTGGTTAAATTATCCACAGAATCAAAGCAGTGGACTCCAAAAATAAGAGTCTGAAATATCTCTTCTGGTGTGATTGAGTCTGAGTCTACACTCCGATCCAAGAACCCGATTGTTTGAAAAGCTTTGACCAAGTCACTTGTGTCCACATGTTTCAGAAATTCTCGCAAAGATTCCAAGTCATGTTTTCTGGGCATACGCGGTCTGCATCCTCGAGAAACTGAAATTGGCCCCATCCACAGAAACGGATTCATCTCTGAAAAAATATATAAGATAAGTATAAAATTTATGTATTCACTGAGTATTTTCTTTGAATTTTTCTTTTAATTCTATTCTACTATGCATTCAGTCGAGGACTTTTCCAGAGAAATGGGAGAAATATATATGGGGAAAACCTTATCCCAGGATCATGAAACAGATTTAGACTTAATTCAAAAAGAAATTAATTCATCTATTGGATATTTTTATTTCTTATGAACTGAAACTCCTAATTTGCAGACAATAGCATGTTAAATATTTTTAAACTGTCTGACTTCTAAATCATTTTAC